CCCCTCACGGATCCCGCCGCCGCCAGTGCCGCGCACCTCAGTACCTGGAGCCCCTGAGCCCCACAGGAATGCCTCAGCCCCCCACAACCTCTCAAGCCCTACACAACTCACGGCTCCCCGAGCGCCTCTCAAGGGCACGGCAGCCATCAGTTTCTCGAACTTCACAGCCCCTCAGAGACAGCACTGAGAGATAACTCGAGGACCTCTGACAGACTCCACAGCCCCTCAGCCTCCATCTCCGACCCCATAGGCGCGCAACTCTCACGGATCCCACAAACCTCAGCCCCGTGTATCTCACAGCCCCTGAGACCACCTCAGTCCTCCATGGACCCCTCAGCCCTGCATATCTTTAAGCCCACAGCACCTCAGCCCTCACCCCCGCACGGATCCCACAGCTCCGCCAGCCGCCTTAGCCCAGAGCGCCGCAGGTTCCGCCAACCCTTTCCAGATCCGCCTCCCACCCAGCCGGACGTACCGCACACAGTTCCCGGCCGCGCGAACCACCACGGCAGACACAACACCTTCCGCCAACCAACCAGCCAAGTACTGCCGCAGCCTTAATATTCAAGCCTCTCCCGCCTCCCCATTGGCCACGCCCCTCGCCCCGCCCCGCCTGATTGGGGACGCCATCCTGCGTCGCCCCAGAGCATCATGGGAAATGTAGTTTTCATCTCACCAGCGCCAGCCGGCGGGGAAAAATTTTAAAATTAATGCAGTCGCAGTTAGTCTCATCTGAAAGGCATACTCCTGTTCCTGCTCGTGTGTGTTCTCGCCCTTTCAATCTGCTAACCGCTGGCACTTGCTGATTCTCCACGTTATTTCTCTGTCTTAAATTCATCCCATCATTTTTTCTGAAGCACTCACTTCATGCAACTGGAGATGAGTTCTGCTTTGGTGTCACAAAAACAAGTGTATGTGTCAATGTGCTCCTCAGCCTCATAAACTACCTTCTCTCCAACAGCATTCCAAGAAACAACTTATTAGTCTGATAGGTTGCAGTAATACACAGGAGCCTGGAGTGACTGGAAGCGTCCAAGGCCAAGTTGGACGGGGCTTGGAGCAACGTGCGATAGTGGAAGGTGTCGCTGTTCATGGCAGAGGGTGGAATGGAATGGGCTTCAAGGTCCCTTCCCACCCGGAACATTCCAGGATTTTATGAATATGTCATCACTGCTTCCAGTGCCGGAGTACGACCGGGAAGTGAGACGAGATTTTTCCTGCTCGTTGAAAGGGCTGAGGGAAGAGCTCAGGAGAAACAACGGGGCAGAGGGTGAGCGCCCGTAGAGGCCGCACTCCGACAGCCTGTCCTGCAGCACCCCCTCGTGTTCCTGCCGGGAACTGCAATGAGCCAGGACTGCCTGTTCGCCTCTCTGAGAGCTGAGATCTTCATCAAATCCAGCATCTGCAGGGTCTCAAGGCTACAGATGTCCTGTTCCCCTCTGCATTAGTGTTATGTTTGCCCAATTATCCCATCAAAAAAACCCGAACAATATTTAAGGTAGCAGCAACTTTAATTAAATAGTTTAGGAAATATATAAATAAGGGATAATTTGGTTCAAATAATAGCACATAAGCAAAAGATACCGCGGGGTACAGAGGGCAGAGTTCTGGGACCCTTGTCACCTCACGTACAAGCTTGCCAAGTGAAAGTCACCCCTTATATGCCATGTGTCAATGCCATCTCCTCCCATTTTCGGTTCGTCACTTTTCTATCTCCGCCCTCATTACCACCTTTACCACGCATGCGCCACCACTCAGTTTGGTGGTCGCACAAGTCTTTGGGGGTCGTCGCTGATGAAGGCCCTGTAGTCTTCTTCGTTGTCCTTTAATTCACCTTTGGGTTACACATGCGCACCAAGCCAGTACAATGTAAGCCAAGACTAACATATCACTATATCTACATATCAAGGCAATAAATCCCTTATAATTAGCATTTTCTGGGACCCAACCAGATTCTTTGCTCATTTTTAGCAACTGTATCTTCAGTTTCTTTCCTGTGGTCCTTGAGAACATCTGCTGGGAAGGGGGGGGTGGAGCCTCTCTTCTTTGGCATTACAATTTTTAACTATTTTATTATTCTCAAATATTAATTACTGTATCAATATTGATTACTGTTTCAATTTTTATCAGCGCGAATCATACCTATTTATCACAATTAGGATCTGCAAACGCTGACGTATGAGGCAGCTGCAAAAAGAAATTGTCACGGACTTGGACAGGAATATCCTGCCAGGAACATAGATTAGCTGCCTGCTGTTATTGGAAATGTGATCAGTAACAGATATTTGTCATAAAGAAAACTGAATGAGCAGAAAGCAGGGTTTTTTTCACAACTGCCCTTGACTCACAGACTCTGGAGGCCTTTGTGATGCTCGTGACTAATGAAGCTTTTGCATGCACAGAAGAGACGAACTGTGACACAGTGTTGATGAAAGGTGGTTTCTGTGTTACATGGGCAAGAAACTCATGAGAGACCCAGGACTGCGGACGGCGGCAGGGGCGAGGCGGTGCCAGAGGGGCTCGGTCGATGTGAAAAATGAGTATTTAATGATTGGCTTTTGTCAAATATTAAAATGAATATTATATGTGTTGTGTTAGAAAGTAATGCTGTATTAATTCTCTTAAGTAGTGTGTTAAATATAGTTTTAGGTTATAACAAAATGTTAAAATAGAAACTATGCTATGTAGGATACTTTTTTCTAAAGAAAGGATTTGCAGCGAGATAGCAGCCACAGGACACCTAAACCTTTCAGAGAAAGATAATTTATTGTCCTATTATCAGGAGAAAGTAACTTCCCGCCTCGCTCAGCCAGAACGACGCCGTTAGAATTAAGAGGAGGAAGTACAAGATGACCAGACAGAATCCTGTGTTTGAATGGAATTTATGCATCATGTATGAGGCGTATGAATATGCAACAGGCTATTGCTTTTAAAGGTTAATCCTCTGTTAACGGGGGTCCTTTTTCGAGCTTATGCTGCCCAGAAAAAGGTACCCGGACGTCCGTAACTCTTTGTCTCTATTGACTCATACTTGTCCAAATTATTATTACTCTAATTATATTATTATTTTTATAACCACTTTATTACTATTAAACTTGTAAAATTTTAAAAACAAGTGATTGGCGTTTTTCACAGTCGAGCTCTGCGGGGCTTTTGTGCGCGTGTGACGGACAGCGACAATCATCCCCCCCACGGGGGCGGAGCCGACCGCAAATCGAATCGGCAACGCCCAGGAGGGCGGCCCGGGCCGGAGGTGGCGGAACCGCTCGGGCCCGGCTGCTACCAGCACACAAGATGGCGGGGCCGGGCAGAACTCACGTGATACCACACCTAAGATGGCGGCTTAGGTGTATCGCGCCCTTTCCCATGTGGCGACGTTTCGCGCACGCGCTTTGAGTAGGGAGAAAATGGCGCCAAGGATAGACCCTATGTCTAGAAAGGCGTGCCAGTGGGGACAGCGGTGTTGATCAGAGGCGCCGCGGGCGAGCGGGAGGCGGCGGCAGGCAGTGCCGGGGCAGCGTCTGTGCCGGTCCCTGAGGCGAGAGGCCCCCTGAGCGGGCGCGGAGCGGACCCGGCTCTGAGGGAGACCCCGCCGAACCCGAACCCCGAACCCCGGCCGTGCCCCGGCCAGCGGCGGGAGCGGCTGCTGCGTCAGGCCCCCGGGGAGATCGTTCGTGGCCTCTGCCCGGGGAAGACATGAAACGAGAAAATAGTCGAGAAAATAACACAAACAGCCTCTTCTGGACGTGGTGATGTCGGTCACGGGCTCTGTGTCACCACAAGTCTGTAGAGCCCCTCTGAGGCAGACACCGCCCGAGGCCCCTGCTCTGGGCAGAGATGGAGATTTACCCCTGGCTGTTGTTCTGGGTCAGTGACAGTTTGTCCTGGTAATTGGTGGTGTTGAATGTCATTGCTGCAATATTCCTTCACACAGGGTGCCCTGTGCCAGCACTTACAGCCCCTATGCTCAGGAGTGATTAATTAAGGTCTTTTAGTCCTTGTTATTAATTCAAGTAAATAATTTCTGTAATTTTTAGCAACATACCTGGTCTGCTGCCTGTAATCCTGACAGGGTTGTACAGAGGTTTGATCACACCTTTAAAGTAGTTTTTCGCCCCCAAACCCCAGTTATACTGACTGAGACCACACACAGGTGATGCCCTCGAACTCTTGGGTTAATGTTAATTCTTGCCAAATTATGAGGGTAAATTCCAGCGGGTCTGTACCAAAAGACAGAAGCCCTGAAGTACAAACAGCTGTGCTGCAGGACCTGGTGGCAATGCTGTGCCCCTGCCAGGACCTGTTCACGTGTTCCAGTGGACCGTCGGGTCCAAATGCTGCTTTTGTACAGCCTTGTCATAGTTTGCCCCTGTATTTAAAACTCAGCTATCCAGGCCATAACACCCTTCCTATTGAATGTCAATCCCCAAACCCAAAAGGAAATGTGTGGTTTCAGAGCTTTTGCTGAGTTTCTCAGACTGTCGGTTACAAACCATTATGAGAACCCAGTGAAAGAGACAGACATGGATTTACAAAAGCCAGTGAAAGAGACAGAGATGGATTTATAAGTATAACTTAACTATTTTAATAACTCTTGTACAGTGCATGGTTATATCATTGTCTCCTTCGCTCAGGTACATCAGTGTACAGTACTTTATAGCAGTGTCTGCAGGCAGTACAAACAGGAGAGATGCACAGCTCAGTCGCATGGAAATTTGTAAAAGTGACCTCTGCAGTGAGGCCTGCTGAGATGTTTGTTTTGGGAAGTGCTCCTGTGGCTCCCAGCTTTACAGAGCTGTCGTGTACATTCCTGTTAAAATGCCAGATAACTGCAATTCCCTGTGCTTTGCTTTCCTCTACACCCCAGGACTAGAAGGTGGGGTGTTTCCTAGCTCAACATTTGGTTTTATTTTCATTTTAGAAACTCTTTCGCCTCCTGTGCTTGCCATGCTGCTTCCCTTCACCCTCTTCCAGAGCCGGGGCTTCTCAGGAGGATTGTCCTCTTCATCCCTCCCTGACAAGGTGAGTGCCCTTCTCAGATCCCAGCAGGGCTGTGACCAAACCCAGGATCCCCCCCTGCCTGCACCCTGGTTCTGCTGCTGCCAGCAGCGTCCTCTTTCAGATGAAGAAAACAGATTATCCATGGGAGACAGGAATAAAGCAAACCTGAGGTGCTCTGGTGCTCTCAGATTGAGACACGAGTTCCCCAAGGCTGTGTTAAAGCTTTTTCCATTAAATGTGCAAGGACAGACACAGATTTGGGCAAAGACTGAGCAGTGCTGAGAGAGAAAAGCCAACTGTCCCTGGGCTGTGGGCAGCTCTGGAGCTGTGTTTGCTTCACTGCTTTGCAATCAGCTTGGTCTGTCAGGTAAACAGAGACAGAAATGCAGTGTGCCAAACTTGCTGTGGACAGGAACTACGCTGCTTGCTTGAGTTTTGAAATTGTGAGTAAATTCTGGAAGCATAATCACTAATTCTGCCTCCAGGGAGAGAGATTTTCCTCACCCCCTATTTACAGATTGTTACATAGAAATGCACATAACTTTATGAAGGAAAACAGGAAGTCAAGAGCAACACCCTGTGCTAAATTAGATTTTTTTTCCTTGTGCCCATGTATTTGGAGTTAAACCTGCCTTTCCCAGTGTGCTTTGGGGTTTCAGCTATTTGGGAATAACTTCAGCTGACTTTCTGCAGTGAAAACGTGAAGGTGGGGACGAGTGACCAACACCCTGGGAAGGGCTGTGGGTGTGCCTGGGACGGGAGCAAATGGTCAGGGCTTATCTTCTCCTGGTCTGAGGCCGGGTTTGGCAGCCCCACAGCATTCCAGGGCAGGGTCAGTGGCCCAGGGAAGCTGCACAGCTGCCCTGAGCCCGGGTCTGTGTATCAGCAGCAGTGGGCAGGGGGAGCTCACCCATGTCCACGTTCAGATCCCTTTGTTTGTCACTCCTGCTCCTTCCCAGGCACTGAGAGCTCATTTCAGCTGCTCAGAGGCAGCACCAACTGGTCTGTGGGTTTAGGGAAGCAGCCAGACTTTGGGAACGTGTGTTGCCATTCCAGCCTTGTCCAGTGAGGGGCACAGGGGACAGGAGGGGGACAGGGAGCTGTCACCGGGCTGTGCTCACAGGCTGCAGGGGACACCTGCACTGAGGAGGGAATGGAAGTGGGGCTGCCTTAGGCTGCCCATCCCTGGCAGTGTCCAAGGCCAGGCTGGACAGCATTTGAACAGCTTGGGCTTGGGAAAGGCGTCCCTGCCCCTGATGGGGGGGAACAGGATGAGCTCTGATGTCCTTTCCTTGAACCCACAGCAGTGCAGGGTTGTTCTGCAGCCTCACTGCCGGGTGCAGGCTCCAGGCCCTGAGCTGGCCCCTCCTGAGCTGTGTGCCAGCCCTGCTCTGCAGCCAGGGCTGGGAGCAGGGACAGCCCTTGGGAAAAGCTCTGGGCTCTCTGTTTGAATCCACCCTTGGCGTCCATCCAGCCCCGCGGGAATCCTGCTCCGATCGCATGCACGGAAAATCTCAGTATAAAATACATAGTTATAAAAAAAATACTTCATGCAAAATTAAAACACCTTTCCCAGTGGGATGTGGTCTTATTGCCAACCCTTCCCCAGAGTGTTGGAGGAATTGTCACTCTGATGGCAGCTGGAGCTCAAGGGGAGCTCTGCTGCCTCCGGCCTGGGCCGGGAATCACTGCTTTCATTCCCTTTTTTCTGCACTACTGAGGGCTAAGAGCTGAAATAAAGCAGAGAGACTTTAATTAGCAGAATCAATCCTTTCCTGGCGGCGCTTCATGATCTCCTGGAGCTCTGTCTCCCCTCTGCTTTTCTGGAATGGAAACAAAACAGCAAGTTTGGATTTGAACTTCAAGCTGTGGTTAAATTACAGTATTTAATAAATGCTGTGGGAGGAGAGCTAGTTTCAAAGGGATAGGTGATATCAGTAAAAAGCAGATTAATTAGTGGAAACAGGGAGATCTTATGGATTTGGGGCCTTCTAGCTTAAAAGACACTTCAGAATTTTTATGTGTATTTTATTGCTTGTGTAGTTTTGGTTGCATTCTTTTTTTCCCCAATTGTGTTTCTTAAAATGTCTGTTTAATGAGCTATGTGCCACTGCTGGCACAGCCCCCCATTCCAGCAGGAATTACCTAGAGAACACTCACCTCCAGCTGGTTTTTCTCCACCGTGATCTTGCTGTACACTCTGTTCCCCTCATCACCACACACCTTCTTCAGCTCCTCTCTGTTGAGGGAGAAGAGCTGAGCTCCGGTGAGGATGCCCAGGTGTTCCACGGTCCTGGGGAGACACAAAGGGGGGGAGGATGGCTGAGCTGCAGTGCCTCGTGCCAGAGGTGAGCAGTGGGAGAGGGGAGCCTGGGAGCTGCACTGGGGTGGTGTCACAGCCCTGGGGCTGGGCCAGGCTGCCAGCTGTGATTCCAGTGGCATCTCAGGCCGTGGCTTTGGTTCGTGGATTGTTTTTCTCCAAGAAAAGGTATATAAGATAGAAAGGGAGTGAGCTGGGGCTCTGAACATGCTGGTTATAGAGCCTGGGTTTAATAGGGCTGAAATCTAGTTTACATCACAGGCTCTGGAGGTAAATCCCAGTGACCTGTCCCAGGTGAGATGGTGCCAGTGGCCTCCCCAGCTCCTTCTCCAGGGCAGAACGAGCGTTTCATGTGGCAACAGAGCAAATCTTACTCTTTGCTGAATGACTTGGCCTCCAGCCAGGCTTTGACTTCTTCAGTGCTGGATTCAAAGGTGAGGGGCACAAAAACTTGCTGAGGCTTTTCCACCTTGAAATTCCTGTGGGGAGGCTGAATTTTATTGTTTGTGATCTTCTTTAGCAGCTCGTCGTTCAGCTCATCCATTTGGTGAATAAGTTCTGCAGAAACAGGTAGGGAATGAGATCAAATCTTCAGTCAAAAATCCCATTAA